TTTTTTTTTTTTTTTTTTTTTTCTAAACTCATTTTCAATCACGTTTTACGAGTCCCATAATTTTTATCAATTCTTTCGCCACACATTTCGTCGAATTTTATCAAAATTTACAAAAAAATGATTTTTATCCAAACCAAACATGGACTAAAATTTTCCTATTTTTATTTAATACTTTGTCTAAACATACTATAATGATATTTTTGTAGAGTTATGATAGTCAGACAGGGTTGGGGACAGGGAAGGAAACATGTGCACGTGTCAGCACCTGTTTGGATCATTTTTTATTGTTCTTTTATACTGTCAAATCAGTGAATGACACGTGTCCCACCTGTTTTTAACCCTATCCCCAACCCTGTTTTTATAGCAAAACTCATTTTTGTAACATGAATTTGAGAGAATTAAGGAAAAAAGATGTGACAATTTTTAATTATCATGTCCAATCTTACTTAGTTTCGATATACAACATATTGTTAATACATTTTGTATAGAAGTTAAGACCACATGTTGATCCACTCATATGAACAAAAAGAACACATCGCAACCCGTAACTGGTCGGACAAGGCATTCTAGTCTGCATTGTCATTGTTTAACGCTGGACCGAGAAAAATGGTCCTGATAGGAACATCAAGAATGAATGTATATAGTAATTGAGTGATTTAGTGTACAAAATTTGGCAACCACCAAATATAAATATAAACATGACCATGAAAAGTTCGCTAATCCAAACCAAAAATTGAAAAATAAAATTTTCTTTACAATAGGTTAACCATCGAGGAGTGTCAAAAATCCCATCAATAGACATTAGCAAGCTCCAATATCAATTTAGAGACAAACTTCCGATGGAAAAAGAGTAATACTCTTCTAGGCGTGTATAGTGAGTTGAATTTATGCAACACGACACGTTCCACCAAAGTTTTGTACATGTCTAGAACGAGTCATGGTTCAACTTGAAAAAATTCACGAGCCACGACAGGCTAGACACTCTAGGCCAGAAGTCCACATGATTGTTTTAAAAAAAATGTTGGTGGTTGAAGTCTTCACAAGATTTTCTTTCCAAAATCTTTATGAAATTTTTTTTAGCTAACTTGAAAATACGTGATATGAGTTAAGCTAGGCTAATGCATCAGGTCATAAAAAATGCATTGCACCAAGTGAACGGTACGAAAAACAAATATTGCATTCGGTAAAATGTGAACTGTGACAACACGCTACTAACTTTCTTAATAGTCTTATAACTCGTATGGCCATACACATTTCCTCAAACTTCCGCAAAATATTTAATCCTTGAATAGCTAGAATATCCTCTCCAAGCCCAATAGGAGGAGCGCAAGAGTTGTTTTATGCTATGAAATACTTTGTGGCCGTTGGATTATACGTAGGGGTGGGCAAAACCCAAACCAACCCACGAAAACCGACCGACCCAACCCAACCCGACCGGGTTGGGTCAGTTTTTTTGATTTTTTAGGCGGGTTTCGGGTATAAATTTACGTTATCGGGTCGGGTTGGGTCGGGTTGCGGGTTGGGCAAGACAACCCGTGGGTACCCGACCCGACCCAACCCGATAGACATAAAAAATTGAAAAAAAAAACCGACTAAAATATAAAAGGGAAAGAAGCCCCAAAATCGTCTGGCCTTCGCCCTAGAATTTTTCAGTCGTCTTTTTCTCCTCCACTCTCCAGTCTCCACTCCCTCCGCACAACACAAAAATTCCTCTTCTTTCTCAGTTTCTTGTCTGCTCTTCTATTCAGATTTTGCACGCAATTAGTGCACACAAAAATGCCTTTAAGACTCTCATTGCAGCAGAATATAGTGGTGTTAAAATTGAACTGTCGAAGAGTTTTGAGATGGGTATATCAAATCAGACTCCTGAGTTTCTCAAGATGAATCCTATAGGAAAGGTATATGATAATATCATGTATTAAAATTGAACATTTCACTTCTTTTCCTGATCTTCTAATTTTCTTGCTGTAGGTTCCTGTTCTTGATACCCAATATTTGAAAGTAATGTTATTGCACGCTATGGTGAGACTACACTGGCAATCTACGTTTGATGCATTATTTGTTTATTTAGTTATCTTTGCATTACTACACGTTTGCTATTCTTAACCACCTGACCCAACACTTGTACATGTTTGCCATTCTTAACCACCTGAAATCATATTGATTATAACTTGCTCAATTTCTTTATTATTTTCAAAGGCTGAGGAGGTTGCAATTTCTTCATTGAAGAGAGCTCTTGGAGCTTTGAATACCCATCTTGCCTCTTAACACTTATTTGGTTGGACATGTAATAGATGTAAATCATTACAGTAGCTTGAATCAAGATTTTCCCTTTGTTCCATTTTCCTTTTATTCTTCTTTTGGGGTTGAATTTGTTCGGTCTCACTTTTTTTGTAGATAAGATAAAGGAGATATTTGACTTAAAAGCTCTGTTTTATGTAGGGATCGATAATGGCTAATGATTTAGGATGTTCAGAGACAAAGGTTACTTCTTAGAATTTAAATTTTTCATTTTTAAAGGGTGCTATATTCTCAATCAGGAGGGTTATGCCAGTGTGTTGGTTCACAGAAATATTTATTAATTTTGGCTTCAGCTGGTTGTGAGTAAAATCTTAATTAAATAATAAAATAATTTAGTGTTGCACATACTTCTTTGTAACTTGTTGAGATTCACGTTTGTTCAAAGATTGTCTAATAACTTCATAAGCTCAAGGTGGAGGGTAACACAAGGAAATGTTAGATTGGATTAAAAGTTATTAGCTACTTAAAGAGAAATTATATCTGGAAGTCACTTGTTGAGAGTCTTGCTTGAACGAATCAATTATGTCTGGAAGTCACTGATAAATATGTACTCTACAGATTGCCGCCCAATTGTCCCAACCATTCGGGCCCTAGTGACAATTACAAAGTTTGAGGAGCTTCAGCCAATGGAGAAGGATGAGAGGCTGGAACATCAGAATGAAAAGGATGAGGTAAAACTAGCTAGTCTTCGAATGTTTGGCTTCTGTTCTTCCTTTAATTTAAGTTCTTTACCCTATAGGGCTTCAGTTTGAATGTTAAATCAAAATTTCGATCAGTTTTGAGTTATGCCTCCTCTCAAATTTCTCTGCTTATCTCTGTCCCATGTTTCTCTATCTTCCTCTCCTTCACTCTTTTATACTCTCTTCTATTACATAAGGAGAAATTTATACCAGTTCGCTAGAGTATTGATTTTTATCCCCACCTCGACTATTAATAAAAATGATTGATACAAACCGACCAACCCAACCCAACCCGACCGACACATAATTGGGTTGGGTTGGGTTTCAACATTTACATGGATTGGGTTGGGTTGGGTTGAGTTTCGAGCAAACCGACAATATTGGGTTGGGTTTGGGTTGGGGTAAAAACCGACCCAACCCAACCCACGCCCTCCCCTACTGGTAATCCAGAGGCTTCTCAACTTCTTCCAACAAGTCCTTATTCTATAGCGGAAGCTAGAGCTGAAATGTTGGTAATGACATACCACCGATCTTACAGTCTCCCCATAATCACAACCCGACGTAATGTTGAACCATGTCATGATCTAAAAGTTTAAGGAATTAGACAAGAAACAAATTTAATTCTAGATTTTGTCTCAACATGCATATGCTGGTCGAATTAATATTTTAACCACGACCTGGCTCATACGTCAAAATTTTTATAAACAGATGGCAGCTATAATTGATTGAATCATCTTGTCTAAAAATTTAGCTTATAAAGAAGGGAAAATTTTATTTAATTAGATTCTGTCTTCGACAGGTAACAACGTTTATTCCCAAGTTCATTCTTCTTGCTATGAAGGGTGAACATTTGCCTACTCATAGTGATGGTACAAATGTGAGAAGTTATCTGCATTCTGATGATGTTGCTAAGGTGTTTGATGTTATACTCCGTAAAGGAGTGATTGGTCATGTGTACAACATTGGCACAAAGAAGGAGACGAGAGTTTTAGATGTGGTTGCACAAATCTGCAAGCTTTTCAAATTGATTGCAAATTAGGTTGTAGAGTTTGTATAAGACGGGCCTTTTAATGATCCATGGCATTTCTTGGATTATCGGAAGCTAAAAAGGTTCAGATGGAATACAAAAAAAGGGGGGACTTCTTGGAATGAAGGGCTAAAAACGAC